GTGTCAGTATCAGATGTCCCTCAGTTAGTGCTCTGCTGATTCCTACTCCCCTTAACCTTAACCAGTCCAGTATTACAGAGGTGAACATGAGCTGCCTGGTTGTTCCCTGTTGTGCCATCAATCCAGCCTTAGAGCTGGAGATTTCACCTGGCCTGTCTCTCTTTCAACCAATTTGTCCCGGCTGCTCAGTTTTCCTTCATAGCTGACACTCAAAACAAAACAAAATATATCCTCTTGTCTTCTTTCTTGTGTTCTCTTATTCTGTCTATAAATCTTCACACCTTCTCTTCACTGGATCACCTGATTGTTTTTTGTTTGCCACTCACATGTTTATGGGCTGCTTACTTTTGATCTGTCAGATTCAAAGGCCCATCCTATATTTTTTGACCTTACAGTAAACATAAACTGCTATATAGTAACAGACTTAAATAATTAGTTTGAAAAAAATAAGCTTGACATGATACTGTATAGCCTACAGTTTGTTTCAGAGATTTGGTAAAAATATTGATGATGTTAATAAAAAATAATAGTTGTTGTCTACTGAGTTTAAAATTCATTCAATTTTAGTGACAGCAGCTTCCAAAGCTGCAGTTTGTATGTTGGTAGTCATACAGAATAATTCAAAGGAAAACAAATATGACATGTTCTCCAAGGTTGTTTCAGATGTGACCCATATAACCGCACTTCATATAACATTGTTGACCATCAGGGGGTTTAGAAACCGTTACAAGTAACGCAAATGAGTAAAAAAGTAGTTTTTTTACAACAGGAATTTTACTCTTTACTTGTGCACCTCTGTCATATTTTAATAAGCTGGACAAATGCAAAAATTAAAAAAAAAAAACAGTCGAATACCTTATGCCACTTGTTGCCGTGTTGGAAAGCAGCTCAACTCAACTCAACTCAATTTCACAAGACGGCCGAAATCCTTTCATTTTTCTTTAACGGTGTATTTAAAACATATTTAGTCTATGCAGAACAAATGTGCTACACACCATAACATCTAAGCCAGATGACCACTGGATTAATTCTGATATATTAACAGAATCCTCTCATTGCACAGAGCATGGCTTTCTTTTGATGGAAATTTGTTTATTTCTGTTCTCTCATTGACATTGGTTGCTATTTGTTTTATAATTATGCTGGGTGGTGAATTCATTAAATAGAATGTTGCAGTGAAACAGATTTTGCCATTCACTCAGTAGTTGTTATTTATTCAGGAACAATCATTTATGAGAAGCATATAGGTAGAGAGCAAATTGGATGGATAAAAAAGTCTGTTTGGCTTTAGCAACACACAGGTCTCCCTCTACAGTGGGCTTACCCTTCATACAACATTGAGCTTTTCCCATGTTATTGACACAATAATTCTTTGTTGTAAATAATACGCTTTTTGTACATATGAGCCATTGAAGCAGGGAAACCATAGGCAGCACCCTTCATCAAAGCAAGGTTCATTTCCAAGTCAAGATTAAGGCAACAATACTATTCTAGGTAGCTAGCAAATAGGCATATGATATTTTAAAGTAATCTTATCAATTCCTTCATGTGGATTAAAAAAGGTTAAATAATTGTATTAAACAGGACTAGCTAGATAAGAAATAATCAACATGCAATGTGCATTCCCTAGAAATAACCATTTTGGACAGTCGCTATTTCTAATCTGATGCACAGTGGATGGAACACTTATTATTCCAATAACAGACTTGAGACTTGGCTTTAAATTTCAAAGCTGTTGACTGGCTAATCTGACAGTCTGCAGCATTAAAAAAAAACAAAATTTTTCAAGCGTGGACACACCAAATTTCGTTTCTCCATTTAACTGCACTCCATTTCATTTTGAGTATACAACTCTGCAGTGACCTCAGCTCATCAAGGCACAGATGCAGAATGAGGGAGGAAGTCCAGCAAACTCACGCTGGGCAAGGGCATTAACTGCTGGAGCACACAGGCTATGAAATATATGTCTCTTTAGAGAAAGCTTTTTATTCGCCTTTAACAGGGCTGTAAACTGCCTTTCAGTGGCCTGATGATAGGGAGACCACAGGCACAGTGACCAGCTACAAGAGTCCTAAAACTGACTTACACCTTTCAGTGTCTGTCCACAACGCTAGATGAAATGGGATACAGGAAGTAGATATGAATTCCACTTTGGGGTCAAGGGGACTTTTGTCCAGCAAGCCTAATTTGAAACAGGAGCCTTTTACAGACAGCTCTATCTGGCTCCCACTTGTACTGTCTTTCTAGATGTCCCCAGGGAGCTACGATTTATGGAGCAGAGAGGGGAGCACAGCCTGGGGGATACAGCAGATTGTTCACGGATCTAGCTTGTCTCTCTGGCATGAGGGGGAGAAAAAGGAGGAGACGGGCAGAGCTGGGTGAGATAGCATGACTTACAGAAGAAAAGCAAACAGAGCTCATTATGAAGATATCAGTGTCTTCACTTCTCATCTGCCCAAGATTTCCCCACAGCTCATCCTGTTTCGGGGGAAAGTCACTCCTCTGGGGTTTGATTGAACCTGACAAATCTCTTGTGTCTTGTCACTGATTAGATAGTGATCATCATCACGATGTGGTTGGAGAGACAAAACATGCATCCATACGGCAACATATAAAAACAAACCCTCGTACAATATATCAGAACACATACACAGACAAACATGCACACACGGTTTTTGTGTTTACTTTTGGTACATTTTCCTGAGGCTCCACAGTGATTATCTGGTGATTTTCTGCTGTGATTGTGCGCTGCACGGCCCCTGGTGGGGGCTGTGCGGCTCCACATCTGAAAAAGCGGAAAAGAGATAGATGGTATCTTCCTGGATGGTGTGTTTGACCAGTGCGACGCACTATCACACCCTGACATCCTGTCCTTGGCCTCAATTCTGTTTGTCAAACTCTAATCTCTGTATCCTCGCTCAAATCCCTGAAAACAAACAAGCAAGACGGTATGGTGAAATATTCTCTACAGGATTGTACGTTAACACTTGAGGCCACTGCTGATTTTAAAGCGCTCTGTTCCTGGATTGTTTTAGCAACTGTGGGAATAACATTAACTTCCAAATGCCATTATGAGATAAGTTTAAACATCCAAACATTTTGGGCATGCTCTCTCCTCGAGTTTGACAAATGGGCTCTATAAAAGCTGCGTTCAGGAATGTATGCTGACAGCTTCATGGCCTTGTCCAAAACAGAGCTGGCATGATGGATGGTGTCTTTCTTGTCAATGACAGCTGGTACATGTTTGTGTATTTGCGCAATGACATCTATCTATATGTATGTGTGTGTGTGTGTGTGTGTGTGTGTAGATGAGGGATATTGCTAGAGATTCCTTTTCTGTGCCACACTGAACTTGTCTCTGACTTCATCTCAACAGATTTCTGATGCATTCCCAAGAGCTGAGCGCATATGTTTTGTAGTAAACCACTGTAAACAATTTGTTTTTATTATCTACATCCCGATGAAGACCAAATGAAGTTTAAGCTATATGTTTTTAACCACCAATATGTCTGACTAAATCAATGCTTTCTCTTAAGAATGTTATTACAATAGTTTTCCTTCTCCACCTTAAAGGGTGAGTTCACCTTTTTAATCTATATACAATATTCAAATGTCAATATGAACTTTACTATGTAAATGGTGGTGGTAATTGATCCCTGTCCGCATTGTAAGTGAAATAAACGATGGGGGACAAAATCCACAGTCCATGTTTTGTGTAAAAATGTATTCCAATGTTCAGTTGAAGCTAATATGAGGTTAGAGTGTTTTTTGACATAGAATTTGTTCTTTGTGTTTCTGTGGACAGTGTTTGCTCGCTGAGAGGGACAATAACACAAAGATAATATTTTGTTTGAAGATACCCACTATTTGTCTTTGATTCCTGAGGTCTCATATTAAATTTTTGGTGAACTTCGGAATGCATTATTGCACAGAATGAGGACGTTGGGTTTTGTCCCACATTACTTTCATTAAAACTGTCTCAACAGGGAATCTCTTTGTGGCCGGCATGGACGGGAGAAACAAAAATCAGTATGTGAGTGTTGTTTTAAAAAGAGAACCTATCCTCCAAGTTTCTGTGGATTTATTGCATGTGAAAATGATTGAGCTCTGGCTTCTATTACTTTTAATTACTCTGTTTAAAAACTGGGAGAATAAAAACTTTCTTAAATTCTCACACCTGAAATGGATGTAAACACCCTCAAATTAAAGCTTTCCTAGTCCCCACTTTTATATTTCTCACTCATGTCCCACTTAGGTCGTAAGAGTGCCCTGTATCCTTGCACTATAATGGCAATAAGAGGAGCACCACATGTACAGCTCGCATAACAAAACAATGAAGTGAGCTGATTGAAAAGTCAGTACAGAAGTTACTTGGCAGAGAAAAAACAACATGAATGCTGAATGTGGAATTTGAGCTTAGTTTGTGTGTGTGGAAGTTATATGACCAGACAGAGTGCGAGTGAAAGAGAGTGTGGTGACCTGTAACAGCTCCATGACTCCAGACTGGGGCTTTAAAATCCACACGCCCGGGTCCTTGATTGAACCCACAGCAGACCTCACTACAGTATAGACAAGGCAGCCCCAATGGGAAACTGATTGTTTATTTAACTACTGTTTTATGGAATACCTAGTGACAGGAAGTCCTTAAAACAGCAGCAGTTACTATTTATATAGTCCCTTTTTGGAGTAAACACACTGACTTGCCCCTCCTCCCTCCAGCAGACACCCTGCCGTTGAGGAATGCGCCCATTCACAAGCTGGTGGCCATCTTGGAAGCTTGCCTCTCACTTCCTGTTTCCATGGATACACTCCAGTGCTACGGGAGATGATAAGCACTAACAGTCGCGGGTCCTAATCCTTTTCATCTAGCTCATTTTCTACATCACTTCATGCCATTCAGAATGAGCTGCAAAAGCCAGTTAGCCGCAACAAGCGTCACATCTTTACGCACATAATCCCTGGATTCACAGACAGAAGCAAATATACACAAAGAAAAGAAATACAGATACATTTGTTTTATTTTCTTTTTAGTCTAACAGCCGGAAAACATTCAGTCTAAAGCAACACTGATTTGCATGCAGACTACATTTGAGAGGTTATGCATGAGTCTGGTATACACATGTTTGTGTGCAGCTATGGGGCAGCTGTATTCTGATCTGCTCCTCCGGCGCTGCACCATAAATCACAAGGTCACCATGAGCCTATGGGACCAGAGGAAACATCAGCGTTAAACAGGAATTATCTTTCACTTCAGTCTCTTCCTGCTCCACTACTCCCAAGATACCCACTACAACTGAATCCTGAATGCTTTATCACGGCAGCTTCACATCAGTGCTGATGCGGTTGTCGGGGATGACACCGGAACAGTTGTACAATTTGGGAATCCATTATAAACCGGAGCTTATATCATATGTCATATGGTGCGAGGAGTGCATAGTGGCAGAATAGTTTTCATAGCTTGCAGCAGGTGGGAGTATGCAAAAAATGTATGCATACATGCAAAGAAATTGTTACACATATTCAAATTCTCTAATTATGAGCCACAGATACGAAAATCACTAACTATGGTTTAAAAAAAAATCATACTTTTTGTGAAAATATATCAGTATTGTGTTTATCTTTGTATATCGATTGTTAATTGGATATTTGCATTGTATTTAATCTCATTTAGCTCTGGGTGCACTTAGCTGGAACTTGTGTATATGCTTACCTGACACATCTGAACATTTCTGAACTTTGGAGTTTTTTCATTTTTGTATCTGCCTTATAAGATTCATTAATTAAATATGTCAAAGGAATCTATGTTTGTTTTCTGTGTTTTCTAACTTATTAAAAGTCACTAGAACAACTAAAACCTTGTGTTAAACAAGTTTGTCTTTGCTCTCTCCTTGGTTTGTTTTGTTCCATCCCTGTAGGAAAATCAGTAGCTGTGTTTATGTGAATGAATATATATTGTTGAGCTGTGGACAACCTAGGCAAAACAGTGACAGTGTGAAACTGGAGTTTAGACAGTTTTATGACTTGTACAGTTCTCACAGAGGCACAATATCAGACTGGAGAAAGCTTTAAAGATGGTCAGAGGATGTACAGGGTCACTGCACTGTCAAGAGGGACACTCAGGATTCTTCTACATGGTAAAGCCCAGGGAGACGTGTGAATAAGTGAGATGTTACAGACTGATGAAATTCCCAGAGAGCCTACGATGGATAATGTGATCCCACTACAGTGATGCAGAAACCAGATGGAGAGGGGTGCCTTCAAAATATCTCTTTTTTTTTTACCATGAACGCACACACAACCACAGGCACATACCCGAACATACAGAAAGACACAATGTACACACACATACACTCATTGCACACACCTGTCTAAGTAATGAGATATACAACCCTCCAAGGGGAAATCCATTTAGTCTATGTTGTAAAATATTGGGATTTTTCTCACTCTTGTATATATTCCTTCCCTTGCACAAAGTTTTCCTTGTCTTATTAAAACATATAAAAAATCGCAAATAAATGTCCTTCTTCTAGCGCCTTACAAAACAAAGCACACTTTACTGTATGTGTCCTATTCCGTGCCAAAGCACTCTGGAAAAGAAAAAAAGGTAACACATGCTTATTTATGGCATTTTACCCTCTGAATTTTACCCACAACATCTGCTTTCAAGTAAATTAAGGAAAGTTGGATGTCACATCTGAAGCCTAACAATCCACATACGCTGCCTGGCTCAAACAGAGGGATGGTACTACTGTAATCTGAAAGTGCCTTTAAATAGCAGTAAGAATCAGGCGTCCCTCAGGCCCCTGCTGACAGTCAACACTACCCAGGGCTGCTTTGCAGGTCATAAACACTCTGTTGACAGTGGTCAGAGGCTTATTGTCCTCAGAGCAAAGGACAGCAAGCTGGGTGTACCAACTCCAAACAACCCCAGCCTGTGGATTTAGAACACAAAGCCCTTTTTAGCAGGTCTTCTGCCATTTCCCCTTATTTAAGCACAATCAAGCGTCACATAAGGAAAGACAGTATTTTAATGTATAAAGTGTAAACTGCCGTTGTTCTACAGCCTCTGCATGATCATTAACAAGTAATATTGTGTTAAATGTATTGTAATCTATTGATAATTGATCAGGGCTGATATGACTAAGAAAACTGTAGGCCAGAGGTCACTGCTGCTTTGTGCACTTAGTGTTTTTGCTGTTTCTGCTCTCAGTGAGCAGCTCGTTGAAGCTGCTGTGGCTCAACACTGTGGAGCTGGCAGCTCCACACAGATAAGTGAGCATATACCCCAGGGGGCCAGAGACAGCCGAACCCTCAGTGGATGAGAAGTGTCTGTGCTGTCAGCTTTGGTTCCCAGCGTGTCCTCTCCTCATCGGTCGCCCCTCCCGCCCCCCACCTCGGCGCTTTGTGTGTGGACCCTGCACCCTGTGGACTCGCCACTCTCTGGCCTTTCACATGCGACTGTGTCCAATCACCCCACTCACCCCCCTCTGAACCCAGAGCCTCTGTCTCCATCTCCAACCAGTTCCTGACCCTGAGAGAGAGAGTGACAGTGAGTTAGAAGGAGCGAGAGAGAGAAATCACTGAGTTGAAAAAAATGAATTACTTGTATTAAAGAAGATCATAGCAAAAGTTACCTCTATTGTCAAATGAGACATACTTTATAAGCGTTTAGGACTTGTTACTGTTATTAATGGTTAATAAGCTATTTATTAGCCTTTTGAGGCAGTGGTAGCAGCGTGTCTGGTCAATGTCCTCCTCCACTACCAGGCCTGCAGTTATACATTTTAATGAATCATTAATAAAGGGTTATTCCGCCACAATAATCCATCAAGTCTGCAGTTTTACCATTACTGTTAGACCAAGAAAGGGTCCAACCATTTTGTTGCATTAAATATAACTATATTAGCCCATATTTTAATGTATTTTGGGCTGGACAACTGTCCATTCTTTCTGCATGATGAATTAAAGAGTCAGATTTAAGTGAAACAGATTTTTTATAATCTGAGAATATAAATGCTTAACATATAAATGGTTTATTATTATCTACAAGCAATAATAAAATATGTATTGCATTAGTGAAAACCCTTTGAAGAGAGTAGAAACAAAGTAAAAAGAAAATCAATACTTCACCATAACAACAATAACAAAAAAAGAAGAAAAAAAGACAGCAGGTCTGTCCAACTCCTGTGGGTGAAAACAGAGTTGAGACATCCGTCCTTCATCAGTCCCTTCCCCACCACCTCTGTGTTGTTTTTCCCTCTCTTCCTGTGTCAGACGTTTGCTGGTTTGTTGGCTTTGGCCCTGACCGCCTGAAGGCCCGCACTGGGTCGACCCAGCCTCGGGAGGATTGGATCACACCTTCCATAGGAGTCAGCTGTCAGATGGTGAGCTGCACCTGCTGTCTGAAGCAGGGTGGGCCTGCCGCCGCCGCCACCACCACCACCACCACCACCGCCCAGCCAATGCTAGAGCACATAATTACTGCCTCAAAGATGATTACACTGTTTACTCATGCCCATACGCACAACAGATGACTGTTTCACACTCACAGCTCCCTTTCCCCCGCCTCTCTGTGAAGGCGTTTCACCTAGTGATGAGGAAGTCGCTGCAGCCAACCAACAGTCAGCCCATCCAACTAACAGGTTGGATGCCAGAAATGACCTTAGCTATTAGCTGTTCAAACATCCCCCTCCTACATAACTTTAATTCAATTCAATGGGCCCAGTGAGAGCTGGTTTAATCTACAAGGCACAGTGTACTCCACCAAAAAAAAGAATGCCTTTATGATTTTGAGGCATTGTTGGGTTTGAGGTTGTGCAGTAGATGTAACTATCACAGTTCTAAACAGAGAGTTAGATTTACTTACTGTTAATTAAGCTTTAAGTATAAACAATATAAACTTGTGTGGACACTTGACTGTTTTTATTCTGGTCTTGTTAATAAAAAAGTCAGTAAACAGACTGTGCAGTTAGAGAAATTAAATCATCCATGTCAAAAATGATTGAAGAAGTAAAGCTATGTAAACAGTTACATTCATACATGTAGTGGATGGTAAAATCTAAACTCAGTTTAATTCAAGTCAACCCATGTCAGTCTGACAGAAGTTTTCATGACACGAATACAGTTAATTTGCAGATCATTTATAAAACCTTGTTATTTTATCCCTCCTCCTTATTATGGCTGCTAAAACATTCAGCAAATGAATACTGTACTTGTAAAATATTTATTTATTGCATTGGCCAGATTCACAAAAAACAATACATCTATAGTGCTTTTGGTTAGTTTTCACTGATGTCATTTGAGTTTCTGTCCCTAACATGTCAACAAATAAATATGTAAACAAGCAAAACTCATTTGTAGTTTAGAGAGGCACTGATTGACCGTCATTAAAGTGCTTATTGTCCTAGTATTAAACAAAGGGAAGAGTGTGTTCAGGTGGGTTTACCTTTATGTCCTGGTAACAATAAGACACAGAGTGTGCGCAGAGGAGGAAGAAGGAAGTCCCCCCCCCTAGTAGATTGTAAAACTTGTTAATACACAGTCTATATGGGTAACACCCCCTCCTCCCTCTCTCCCTCCCCTCTCCAGGAGCTGCATTGAGCTGTGGGGCAGGGACATTCTTGGTTTGACGACCAGCCTCGCTGCTGCCGTGATTTGCTGAGCAATTCGACACTAGCTTCAAAGATGCGTGTGTGGAGGAGGCAGCGGTAGACTGAGAGACGGAGACAGAGAAACTGGGGGAGAAGTTACAATAACGGGTTAGACAGACAGAAATAGTGTGTGAGCGCACAAAGACGGGACGTAACGCTTTTAATCTGACACGCGGACTCCAAACTTCCCCAAGGGAAAACTCTCCACTACCTCAACTCGAGTGTAGACCAGGGGGAGTTGTCGCACCTTGGCCCCGAAGCCTGCGCTGCTCTGAGGGTCTGAAAACTCTTCTTCCCCTTCACCTCCGGCTGTTTTCATGTTCCTCCAGTCGTCTCGCACTTTGAGCCCGTGTCTAATGGAGGGCCCCGTACGGATTTGCCTCCAGAAGAATGCGTTTTGCTGCTAACTCACCCGACGACTCGCAGCTTTTGCCCTCCTGCAAGAGAGGTAAGGACGGACTGAGGGGAGGCAAAGAGGGGAGTCCCGGGCCGGCTGGCTGGGAGCGAGTTGGGGGAGGCTTCGTTGTGCCCAACAGGCCAGCTGGGCTTCCCTGGAAATAGCAAAAGAAGAAGTAATGTTCAGAAGAAGCTGAGAGCTCCAAGGTGCCTCTTTAATCTGTTCCCCAAACATTACAGTGTTTTCTTAACTTTGTATTGTGGTGAAAGTGGAGCCCAGCGGCACGGCGTGGCCGTTGGCTACATTATGCTCGTCTGTGTGGCAGTCTGGGAAACTGGGGCGCCCGTGTGCAGAGGTTAATGTTATGAAAGTGTGCACACCCAGCAATAGAATTAGTATTGCTATCTTAAATCTTTATGCATTCTGACATAGCTAATCTCTGTTGTCTCTGAGGTGAATGAAACACAAAAAGGGATATTTGGCAGCGACACCTAACATCTCAGTTGAAAACAGATGGCCTGTGGCTTCTATTACTGCTTTGAAAGATGAAAGAACATTTGAGAAATGGCAAATATGCCCCTCCATTGACACATTAGTTTCACAGTCATTAATGGTGAAAATGGGCTGGGGATAAGTGAAACTTTGTTCTAAAGTTAGACTTTTAGTTTGGATCTGCTTTAGGAGACAACTCTGCCACATTTACCAATGTGCAGAAACATGGTGGCTTAGACTAATATTTGAAGTAGTGTTTTTTTTCTCTCTCTCCAAATACAGAGAGCCTTTATTGTTTTAGATGAATCCCCTGAGGGTGTCATAAATGTTGGTTTGGTAAATGCATGTTAGTATTGTTCTAAAATTTGGCAAGTGCACAGATTGCTGTGCAAAGCACACAAAAGCAACTGTACCTGCCTGCTTCAATAAAGGTGTCATTGTTTACTGATTGGGAATGTGCTTCTTACTGATTTTTGATAAGGGATAATATATGAGTTTAGTTACACAAATGAATAAAACATTAAAGGCCAAGGGGAATCTTTAAAAACACTGGAAAGTGAAACGATACAGATGTGTGAACGTAGTCTGGTGGCTTGACTTCCTTTCAGCATCTCACTGTTCTGTCAATGTGGAAAATATTTCTAAAACAAAAACAAGAAATTTTGTCTTAAAAAAGCCCTCATTAGCTGAGATTATTCTACTCGGGTCTCTCTGTGTTGTGATCTGCAACGCTACACTTCAGGAAGTTTGAGGATGACAACACAAAATGTTACAGTTTTTGAGTCCTTTTTGAATTTTAACACTTATCCATGTTGTTAACATTACATAACTTTACAACAGATAAGTGAAGTTAGTTTTGTATTGTGTTGTTTTTTGTAAAGTACTTTATAAATGCAGATATAAATGTAACCTGCACTATAAATGTTGAGGATTTTAAAAATACTGTCTATGATAATCCAAGCTAATTAAAACCCTAATCCAAAAGGTTTGCTCGAGTCTTTCAAAGCGCAAGTAAAAAGGATGACACAGTAAATGTTATAGTTATGATGTTCCTCACTTTTTCCCCCTCAAGTAATTTCCTCTGTCTGCTGTTCACCCCTATCACCAGATATGCTCAGGGACTTTTGTTACATAGGGGTAATTCTCAGAAACTGAACACTTAAAAGTTATCGAGAACAAAGTCTCAAATCCCTCTCGAATGCATGACATCCAGTCAGTGGGACACACATGGCTGCTCCCAGATAAAACACTTTCAAGTTCAAACAGTTGCTCGTGCATTGTCGCGTTGGTGGGGAACAAGAAGACACTTCCGAAGCTTTGCAAATCCTTTCAGTGCTCCCCAATATTGGGTGAGCTTTTGACATGGGCAAAGAGAGATTTGCTCTTTTGTGTTCAGGCTCGGACACTGACAGCGTTCATGTTAAAGGAGAAATCCTCCCTTAGGTTCTGATATTGAGTCTGCTCCAGGAGGTTTTTTTAGTAAGGCGTTTAGTAGTTTTTTCTGTGACCACTTACCTTCAACCTGCCTTGTTTTAACTTAATTCACTCCTTGATTTCCGACATTTCCTTGAATACCTTTTCTCCTTGCTCTAACAATTACTGCATTGGCTGCATTGCACTAAATTCAGTCTGTGGAGAAATTGGTTGTCCTTTTGTTGCTGAAAATATTTTGACTTGGCATCATGGTATTGAACAACAAAATAGACCCGGAAATCCAAGTTACAGTAACAATAGCTTGTAGATTCTGAGCTGAACATAAGTACCAGTGGAGTATTTTTAGTATAACGGACCACGTTGTTATTATGGGAATTTTTCCCCACAGTAACAACATATTGGGAATATGATTGAATCAGACAAGAGCTGAGCCTCAGACTCATTTCATTTGAGAATCAGTGTGTTTTTGTGACTCGTAGGGAAATTAATAAACCATTAGTGGCCCTGCTTTTATCAGACAGACCCGAACAAAGTACAACTATGCCATTAAGTGAGTTTGAATAATGTCAGAGCCATCAGGCTGCACGCTAATGATAAACACATGTTGCTGTAGGAGAACTATGTTAAGTGGGCAATTTGAATGTAAGCATGTGTAATGATACCAGCCCCTGCTCTCATAATGGCTCTCGTGATTTTTCTGATGCAGTATTAAAATCACACAACCACACTCCAACAATGACTAATGATTGTTGAATACAGTAGTAGCAGTTGAGGTAATGCTTGGTTTCCATAGTAACACTGAGGTTTTATTAAATATTAAACCAGGAAGTGAGGTTGTATATAGCTTGAGAAACTTTTTGTTAGTACTGATACTATTAGTCAGTTAGTTAATTGACAGACAATAAATCAACAAATATTTCTGATGAGTGAGTAATCCTTCAAGTCATTAATAAAACCTGCCTAATGCCTAAAACTTCAAAAATGTGAGGATTTTCCACTGTTTTCTCAGAATGAACAAAAATAAATGAATCATAAAAATAGTCGACAGATGGAAATAATTGTTAATTACAGCCCTGCTTTTAGGCTTTAAAGAATTTCAGTGATGGACAAATGAGTGAATGTCTATCGGAGGTGAGTGCGGTGGGAGAGGGTGTGTCTAAATGGGTGACTCAAGTATATTTTGGGCACCTCCCACATTCTCCTGTTTTGTAGGCCATACACATTTGAGGCCAGGCTGCAAACCTCAACCCTGGCCCTAAAGCAAATGGAAGCAAATTTAAAACCTAAATCACGGTGTGGTTTGGTTGTTTATTTGGTTTCACGTTGTGATCTGTTATTTTACAGCTCCAAAGAATCAACCTTCGGCTGAGAAAAATGTTTTGAGTCACAAAACAGGAGAAAAATCATTATTTTGAGTAACTGCCTTATTTTTCATCATCATCACAATATTTTGACAGCTAGAATTAAGTCTTGCTAATTTTCAAAATCTCTAATGGCTAATCCAGTTCAGTTTCTCAGTATAATAAAGTAGAATATAGTGGACTGTTGTAAGGTTGACATTTGACCTTTCAAGCAACTATTCCCAAACTAAAACCTGGCTTGTTTTGAACTCCTGACATAGCCCTCCTTTTACTGTCATTGCTCAGGGATTGAGTCATACTGCAGCCTTTTCCCCCATCAAGGAGAGACCCAGAGCTCAGGCCCCATTAGATGGACAGTGGAGAGTTTTGGGCAGGATGCCAAAGAGCCCCCATGTTCAAGGAGCCAGGGGGTGCTGATTGACAACACCCAGCAGCCATGAGCAGGGGGCTGATGGGATAGATGGGGCAGGTCAGAGAAAGAGTTTGAGTTCTTATGACTGCTGGGTTGGTGAGTGCACCCTGCAGCTGCAGTGCTAACAAAAAAAGACTTTACTTTCTACCCTCTGTTTCCCTCCCTAAATTTATTCTAGGAACAAGCTGTGAGTGGAATTGGATAAATTGAAGCCGTGTTGAAGTAGCCATGAAGGCAAACGCAGTAGCTGAAGGTGTCACTTGTGTTTATATGAAGCTGTCATTAGTAGCACTTATTATCTGCACTGAGCTCACACTCATTATTTTAACTACGCAACACATGTGTCTCTTAGTGGGACCCCCTCCCCACTTCTTCCATGTCCCCCTACTCTGACAGATGATCCAAACAGCCCAGCGGTGACTCGCTTTACTATGCAAGCATGTTACTCCAGCAGGTTACAGATAGGCTGCATGCTTCCTCCCGTACAACTCTTCAGAAATGTCAAAGGTGAGCTGACTGTAGCCCGATGTATACACCAGCTTTCAACAGATGGTCGTATTGAGTTTCTAAAAATTCAGAACCTTGAAGGACCTGAAACTGGATAATGACTTTCGAGAGATTTTAGAAATGAAATGAGAAACATCAGGGCCTAATTGTTAAGACAAACAAACAGTCTTTGGAGCAGCAGAAACAGATGTTCCAGCCAGCCACCGAAATGCAGCGGGATGAAACCGTACAGGCTGGAGATGGGCAGGGGTTGAGGAGGTCTGCTTCTTCTCTGAAGATGGTTTGTTTTCTGTTAATGTAATGGAAATACAGGCCTCAACTAAATATATATGATAAGGTAATGTAAACCAGTACCACACACAGCGCTTTGAGGAAAAACACACTGTCCAGACGGGTACAGGTAGAAAATACAGACTAAGCAGATTGTGTGACACAGAAGGTCACACTTTGATAGGGAATGAGATTTTTACTGTTTTTTTAGGAAAGAAAATTTAACTGTAGGCTTGGATCAGGTCTTAAACGTGTTGGTATACTTGATGAATGGACTAAAAGACTACTTTGTTGGTCCTGAGCGGTTTGAAGTACACTGCAAGTTGTTTTTAGCCTTACAGTTTGAAGTTTGTACTTACTTTTTATTATAATGCACGTAATCATTCGAGGGATTGCTTTTTGGCTTGTGTAGCTATAATATATGTGCCTTTTAACATGATGCAGAACACTGCATGTGTGAGGAAGAACAAAAAGTTCCTCAGGATGGTTTTGACGTGGCATTTCACACAATACTCGCCTCTTGCCAAAAACAACAATTTTCCTCATAATTGTCAAGTAAATACACGATGAGACCCATTGTTCCGCAGCCATGTCTTCTGTAGTTTTCTTAATGATTCCTCAGCCCTGGGGAAGATTTCAGGGAGTGAACTTTTGAACCAGACCCTTGCTGACAGCTCTCACAGCAAGTATTTCAGAACATGCGAGGGGATTTAAATTTTTTTTTTTCCTG